CCCTGCTCGAACGGGTCCCTCTCGGGCTCCATAACTGGCACTCGAACCTGCACGGGTCGTTGCAAAAATGGCTGGCCATTGGCAAGTCTCGCCTTGGGCGGAAGGTTGGCAGAAGTAAAGCGGTGGCGGGCTCGCTGGCGGGAAGGTCGGCGGAAGGCGGTGGGAGTACAAGTGAGACGCCAACATGTCTTGACCTAGGCTTTACGGAACTGGCCATATCGTGCCCAGCACAAGTGAGACGCCTGCACGTTTTGACCTGGGTTTTCCGGAATTGGCCATGTCGTGCCCCCAAGAAGAGGCACGGTGCGAGTCTGACCCCCCCGCCCCGCCCCCGATTCGAGGGTCATTTGTGCGTTCATCGTGCAAGAAGTTTGGTTTGAGTCGGCGTATTACGCTACTCCATTGACCCACCGACGGACGCAGGAAAGTGGCAACAGCCGCATGCATTGCAATTGACACCCAACAAGAGGAGGTCTGGATCGGGTCTGCGTAGTACGGCACCCAAGTGCCGCCCCCCACACCCACCCAGCCGCATGGACGCGGGAAACGGCCGGTTGTTGCACGATTGGCAGGGCCCGGGGAGGCGAGGTCTAATCTGCGCTGGACCTCCCAACGACGCAGGGACCTGGCGACAACTGCATGCTTGGCGCAGCCCAGGGAGGCGAGGCCTGGCCCGGGCCAGCGTGGGATTCCACTCCGCTGGCCGCCACCAGGGGCGCGGGACAGTGGCGCTCGGGCAGGCGGGCCCGCCTGGGACGCCGCGCAGGTGGCCCCAGGGGCGTAGGAAGCCTGCCGCTCGCCGCACGCCCCGCAGAGCCCAGGGAGGCGAGCTCCCGGTCTGGGCCGGCATCTCAAGCTGGCCCAGAACCGGACAGAAGCAGCAGATGGCTTCTACGTCAGTGCACACCTGAGGCTGATCCACTGACGGGCCCAAGGACTCCCAAGGACCCAAGCAATTTCCGCTTCATTGGCATCAAGCTCACGCGAAGCGGCATGCTCTCCCCGCTGGCTGACTGAGGAACCCTACGCCGTCCAGCGCGTGGGCCTGGCATGCAGCGCACATGCTCCCAGGGAAAGGGAGAGCAGGCGCTGGTGCTGCAGCGCAGTTGGGGGGCTGCCAGGCAGCATGCGCGCTCATGCCAGGAGGGCACGGCGAGGGGAGCTTCACGCCGTCAAAGCTGCACGCTGCAAGAGAAGAGCTAATCGGATTCGGTTGTCCTTCATCGAGCAGCCAGAAAAAAGCAGGGCGGTGGGAGGAGGAGGAGGAGGAGGAGGAGGAGGAGGAGGAGGAGGAGGAGAGGAGGAGGGGCGGGATCCTCCCGCCGTTCTCTTCGATTTCTTGGCGCGCTCCTTTGGAATTCCACATAAAAGAGCTACAGGGAAGCTGGGAAACGTGGCTGCGGCCGGCCCTGGCCAGGGCAGTGGCGAGGGAAGAGCAGCAGGGCGGGAGGGAAGAGGAGGGATGAAAGTGTAGGGGGAGGATGGAGGAACAGGGGGAAGGAGGAGGGGGGAGGAGGAGGAGGAGGAGGAGGAGGAGGAGGAGGAGGAGGACGAGGAGGACGAGGAGGACGAGGAGGAGGAGGAGTCCTAAGGAGGAGGACTATGGACCATGGACTATGGATTGGCCTGCCTCCGAAGAGGCAGGTCCGAAAAGAAAAGAAGGTGAAACACACAGGCGGTGGCTGCCGCTTCGGGCAGCAGGCGGAGCAGAGCAAGGGCCGCACGTGCCAACAAAAAATGGCCCCTTTTACCCCGCCGGCGTCAAGAACATAGCATTCAACAATCCGTAGCCATTTTGGCTCAAGCCATTTGGTTCAATTCATCGGTTCAAGCATTGTGGCCCAGACAAGACCCTCGTGGGTCGCGACGGGACGCCACGGCGATGGATCCAAACGTTCAGCCCCTCAGTCCCTCGACAGGTGAACTTCTCACCGTAGACCCGGCTTTCACCAAAGCTCTCAAATATTTTCCATGGCTGAAGGCTGTCATGTGGGTACAGTGGGTCGCCTTCACACTGTTCTTGTTTACGTTGCCCCTTTTGTCAGATGCCATGAACAACGGTGTTCGTTTAGGTGGCATTCAAATAATTGACCCAATGTGGCCGAAGTTATGCAAAACACCTGCAGATCAGATTCACTGCGGATCCCTGCAGAATTATACAGAGATTGCTGTTGCGCTCGAGAGGCAGGTCGATGGGCAGTACGTGGGGTGCGGGTGTGGCGAGGGCGTTCTGGGTGACAATGCGTGCATGGTCAACATTCCGCAGAACTACCTCGCCGGGAAGCCGGACGGTTTCAGCGTCAGCTACTACATCGGGACAGGACCCGGTACGGGGAGCATGGCCGCCTTGAGCAGCCTTCCGATCCTGGGGATGTGGGGATACGGTCTTGGCAGCTACGATCAGTGGCTGCCCGATGCAGGCCCGTGTTTCGGGTAGTATCTCGGGAGAGCGGTGGCGGCAACGCTGACGACGTTCCAACTTGCATATGGCGGGTTTCTG